CGGGATTTAACATTGCTATATTATTGACTTACTTCACTTGAACATGATATGAACAATTTAATCTACCCTCTCTGCATATTATGTCATTTCTACACTATATAGTTACACTTAACTTTAAAGCATGAGGCAATTGTGTTAAATACACACAAGATGCTTACGTAAATCCAAGAGCTGGCCAATCCCTTTTTTTCAGTGTAGATCATGGGCATGTGAACCAGGGGTGGGTTTTGAAGGAGGAGGGGGGTGTTTGAGGAGCCCCTCAACTTTTAATGATACAATAAATAGTTTTTATACATATTTTATTGACTCCATTTACATATAGGGGATTTTCACATACTTCACTGAAGAGACCTCTTGCTGCTGGGGTCGGAGGGCTAGACGATGTAAACCAGAAGGTTTGGTGAGACTCTATGTCATAAAGATTATTTATGAATCTGGTAACTAGAATTCAGATTTTTTTTCTGCTGTTGTTCTAAATTGCCAATTATTATATTTTCTAAATCCCTATTTTTGCCATTAGAGGCTCACTAGCCACAGGTTATGTCTATCACTGAGTTATAGGAAAGAGGTAGCTTTTTATTCATTTATTTTGCTGACCTTTATTTAACCTGGAAGTCCCAATAATATCAAAACTTATTTACAGATTAGACCTGGTCAAGTCCAAAGTCCACTCTCAATCAAATACTTGCTTTGTGCTTCTTCCTTTGAATGAACCTCCCAACTGTAAAAGGCATCAAAAACCTACAGTGATGTGGAAATCAAAGCACTGTGGTCTGTCATAGCACTCCCACAAAGTTTTTGGCCCTTAAAGCACTACAAGGTCCTCTAGTATTGCATCTGTGGTAATTTACAATGAGATGCATCAATAATTAAAAATATAAACAAGCTATATAACATCTCTAGGAAGCAGAGCTGTTATGACATAGTAAATGAAAACATTTTAACATATGTTAGTTAAGACTGCAGTTTTACTTGTTATAGCTATGAGTAAACACCTTTGAAACTAGATGTCCAGAAAAGACAAATGCAAAGCTTTATCGAAATGTTTACAGGATCATTACTGAGCACAAACAGCTTTTAAGCAGTAAGGAAACAGTAAGAAAGAAAGTGAGGAGTCGACTGCAAATGATACATACGAAGCATCTGAAAAAATAATAGGAACAAAAGCACAATAATGGGGAAAAGCTGTGCTGAAATCCAGCTGCCTAAATTTACTTATAAAGCTTGCGATTAGTCAACTTTCTATTTTTTCTGTTAACTCTGCTGTTGACAGTTGGATGGTACCGAAATAACAGGCAGGGCTGGGATGATAAACTACCCAGTTATAACCTTGACAACCACTGGAGCGCACACTCACACACATATACACATTCTTTTTTAAATGACAGGCTCAAAAAAAGCATACATAAATTAAGGAATAATGAAAAACAGAGTAATTAAAACCCTTCAAATGGCAAATCTCTGCATTTTCAGGCATGAGTGAACCACTCTATACTTCATGTGTAGGGTGATGCTGTTTACCTAACATATATTGTAAGTTATTCACACAAGTTTGTACTTGTTCATGTATAACCAGTTCAGTTGTCAGGCAGAAAACATTTTTTAACAGTCACTGTGGGTGAAAAGTTTAAAAGGGGAAAAGGGACTACTTGAAGGAATGTAGTTTTTGGAGTATAACCATTTCAGCACAAATACACAAACACACATCTTAACTCAGCGAATAGTTTCTTATATAGTTTGAAGATACAGAAGAAAGACTGAAAACAGCAAAAGTCGAAGCAAAAGAGAGGCGAGAAGGTGGTGCACTGTCAGCAGAGCGTCAGGATAGAGAAAAAGAAAGTAGCTAGGTCTATAAATTTATTAATGACCTTCGTGCTGCGTCTTCTGAACTGTCTAATGCACTAACCGCCTCATACTTCATCCTTTCTCTTGCTTTCATCCGCCTGTCCATCACCCTCTTCTCCTTAAACTCCTCTAGTCCCCCTGCCTCTGCCTGCCACCCTCTGTCAAAACCTCTGTCAAAACCTCTGTCAAAACCTTCCCATGCTCCACTCTCTCAACTTCATTCTGATACTCTCACCTTTCTCATCCCTTTTGAGGTCTACAGCTCTCTCATCTATGCCCCTGTCAGACACGACAACCCTCTGCCGCAATCTCGCTTTGCTATGGAGAAAGATTTGGGTTATATAAAGATCAATATGAGGCCAGCTAAAGTTCAAGTAGATCCTGCTTAAATCTGTGATGGATCTGTCTGCCTTTGTATCTGCCAGCTTTAAAGGTTTGAGCGAGTGGGTGCAGGCATAAGAGAGATAGAGAGAAAGAAAGAGAGGAATATAAAAAAATGAGTGTAACAAAAAAAGGGAGGGGGGTGAAAAAAAGACAGATAGAAGAATGTACTGTAAGAGGCTGATAAGTTTAAGGGAGAAACAAGGACTGTATTGTCTCATGGGCGATGATGAAAACCAGCTCCACGAGTTCCTGTCCTTCAGCCATGACATGCACGCACGCACGCATGCGCACACACACACACACACACACACACACACACACACACACTTTCTTTCAGCAGGTTTATTCATGTCATTCGTGACACTTTCAGATGTTGCTGCAGTGTGACAGCTGAGCTCTCTCGAGCAGATATTCAGTCACTTCTAACACGTAGAAATCTCTACAGGCAACTTCTGACTCACCTCTCACTTCTTCAGCATATAGAAAGTGTGTTTACAGTCACTGTCAAGAGTTCAACGAACAATTGCAAAGCTCACTTTTTCTGCCAGTGGAATCATGATATGCTCCTTTTTTAAGACAGACGGAGATATGAATACAAAGGATATATATGCAGTAGTTGTGTCTGAGAATAGGTAGATCTCAAAGTTTCCCTTGTATGCCTTCTATGTCATTATAAATATAATTATCTTATTTTTTTTTACCTGCTGCTAAACAATCTTTTCTGTGTAACTTTTGTTGCTTTAGTGTGTGAATGTATGAAGGGAAGTCTTTAAATGTTTGCTGCTGTGTTGTACGCTTGCTGTAAGGCCATTTTATAGATATTTACCCATTCCGCTGTGCCTATTGTTCTCAGCTTCATCCAGCTTCAGGTTCAGGGCGGACTCAGTCTCCGACATGGAGTTATTCTCTGACGTCCTGTCTTGAGCTATTTTGCCGGCCGCGCTGCTGACTGAATCTTCCACTCGGCCACTGGAGTTTTTCGCAGCAGGTTGGACCCGCACGGGCCCACTTGTTGTGCTACTGATACTGTAATGGGATTCAGCCTGCTCTAGGTCAGCATCTGAATCATCAAGACCCTGGCTTAGTTCAGAGCTGGAATCCTGCACGGCAAGGCTGTCAGTAGTGCTGCTGCTCGGGGTTGGGGAGCTGGAGGTTGGCATGGCATTGGACACAGGATCTACTGCTATTTTGTGCGAGGCTGTTTTTTCTGTTAGTTTTATCACAGTGGCAGCTGAGGCTGTGGTCGAATGTGCCACCTTGATGCGGGATGCCGGCATAGGTTTATCAGGAGCTTGACTGTCAGGAGTGGGAGCCGGAGAGGCTGAAGTGTCATCAGAGCCTTGCGTGATGGATGTTGGAGTGGGAGGAGGAGCTGGAGCCTTTCTTTTCCTCTGCTGGCTCATCTGATAAAATTGAAGGAAAAGGAGGCAGACAGTACAAAGTTAATTTACATGAGCACCTTGTGCATATGTGTGTGTCTGTGTGTGGTTTAACCATAAATTAGCCTGTAAATTCAGTCTGCCAAGCCTCAAGTAGAGTTTCCAACAGACTAATTAAATCAAGTAGAGTTCTGGCAGGCGTACAGGTTTTTAAATCCATCAAAGTGCCAACATTCCTTTTAAATTATTCTCCAACAAGACATATAGGACCCGACGTAAATACATATATCGATATGATGCAGTGGCATATTACGAGTACAATATGTGTACTTCACAATGGTATTTCTTAGTTATTCAACTGGTAAATCAATAATTATTCAAATGCAATGCTGTTATACTGCTGATTTACTTACTGCCAAGCCAGTGATAACTTCCAAAGGAGACATGAAAGTCAGATTGTGATTTTCAGGTCAGTGCTTTAACAGAAACATCAGTGGATGTTCATGACTGAAATATTGTTTTGTGTTTTTCACAATGACAGAAGCTGGAGCTGAAAACTGAATAATAAATTGTAACTGGATCGAGAGGATGTTTTAAAGAAGAAACAAACAGGAAAGAAGGACAGAGCAGGAAGGAGAGAAAATAAAATTAAAACAGAGCGATGGGACAAACCAATGAATCAATAAGAAACTATGTGGAAACTCAGTTTTGTTCAATGAGCAGATGAGACCTTTCATATGCTTTTTTTCAAGTTAATCTCACTTTCTATGATACGGTTTCAAAGAATCAATTTAAAAGTGCTCTGGGCAGTCTTCAGCAGTATCGATAACCTACTTTCGACTGGCGATCACCGCTTATGCTTTCAGCTTTTCCTTCATTCTGAAACGCAACAGAGAACATGCCTAGAGCTGTATGGAGCTTTGCATCATACAACAGGACAAAAGAGCGATAAGGCCATCTTGCATTTTTGCAGGCATGCTGGGTTCAAACATGTGAACTCAATGAACTCACTGCATGGCATTCTATGGACCTCCAAATGTTTTTCAGCTGATTAGCTGTCTCTTTTTTGATCTCCCATTTCTCTCCCTCTTTAGCATTCAAATATACATGAATGCAGGCATACCAGTGCAAGTGGACAATAGTTGAAGCTGCAATGGATGACTGACTGCCCCAGAAGATTGATGTGTATTTTTCTAAGTGTGTGTGCGTGCCTGTATGTGCTGGCTGCAGAATTAAGAGTCAGGCCTGGTACAAAGGGAAAAGAGCAGTGGCCTCAATACACAAGCATATGCCCAACACTTTTCTGTGCAACTGTACGAGCACGAGCATGCACACAGACATACACTTACATATGCACCAAAGTGCACACACACATTAAAGGAACAGTATATCTCATACCTCAGGCTGAGCTGTTGTAGAGATTAGGGGGTTGTTACAGGCTGCATGGTTAAGTGTGTGTTGCTCTCATGAGCTTATTGGCGCCATGACTGGGAACGCAGCATGTACTTAAGATTGTTAGAGACTGAAGCCCAGAACTCTGTAATATACTACACTCAAGGTCACACTATACATTAAGTTCAGCAGACTTTGCACTCTTATTATCTATAAACTATGTGTGTGCTGTTTAGTGATTCTCCGTTTTCAATCAGACTATTTGTATTCTCAGTGCTGGCTGTTTTTCAGATTTATCACAGACAGTGTTTCAGTATATTCAAGCTTTTTCATTATATACCACAGGGTTGGCAAAAACAATGTCAAATATAATTGACAAAAGGTAGTAAGTTCATCCACATCATTTGCAGTACACAGTATAATAATTAAAAATAATAATATATGCAAATATTAGCAATACTAACTATTTCCATTTAAATTAAAATTCATTAAATATATATACATATTTTACTCAGGCTATACATTAAACGTTTTTTATTATCACAGGCAGCCAGATAAATTTTGAGGTATATTAAAGTGGAAAGCAGAATTTTGTTTGTTCTACAGTAAAGTTATTAGCAAGACCACAACAAAACAAAGAAAGAAAACAGGTTTCTTATTCTCTGCAATGATTTTGTCTCAGAAGTGCATTTAAACTGAATGCTGTACATTGGGTCAGTTTGTATGTATCTAAACTTAGAAAGCAAGTGGAAAATAAAATAAATAATCTTGTCACATGTTTGATCCAAATAATTAATCACCACATTGCCCTGACTTTACGCGTTTTTACTTTTAAAAAACAAACAAAAAACATATGTGATATGTGAGTAGTTTTTAAGGGGAATGGACATTTACAGAATGAAGCACAGAAGGTGATACACGGACAGTCTGCTGTGTCAATTAAATTTTCCACTCCGTGGTTTGGAAGGCAAAGGGCCCCATGTCAGAGCATGTTGATCAGATAGGGCCACCCATGGAGGCATCATCCTGGTAGCGTGACCATTCATCAGTTGTTTTTGAAGGACTCTTGATGGGTGAAGGCCTTTGTGACAGGCCAACATAACAAGAGTAATGTGGAACGTGAAAAGGATATAATGGATGCATGAGAGGGGGCTGCTCTGTATTTGTGTGTCTAAGCACATCAGCAAGGATGACGTCATTGTGTATGTATGTGTTAATGAGAGATAACAAAGCAGCCGGACTGTCTTCGTCATCGCTCACTTTCCTGTACTGAACTAAAATGTGGAAGAGTGTGTATCAATGTTGACAACCACACGCTGCGGTCGTGTTTCTTATGTCTAATGCCTTTTAAGACAAGGTCAGCTAGGCACACTTTATTTGGTAAAAGCACACCACTGGAGATCATGCAACCTCCCTCTGCTAGTCTTTGCAGTTTTAGGTTTTTGAGCCAGCTGGCATGTGATCAATCAGGGAAAAACTACTAATCCAAGACAGTAACAATAGGAACAAATCAGATGGTCATTGTCCTCTTTAGCCCAGATAATGCATACTCTGGGTTTCTCTGTGACTCCTTATTTCCTCACTCACAGTTACTATCAAAGCACACATTATTTGAAACCAGGTTAGACATCAGCAGAAAACCCAATAAATATCTTCAACATGAGCTCTTTTATGACATTTCTGTCATCACTGTAAGGACAAGATAGATAATGTCGCAGAATATTCTGTTAATAATTTACATACTTTAAAACATAGTGATTAAATGCTGGAAGTCTCAATTTTTAATATAACATACAGCGCAAGTCTTTTTAACTATGACATAATAATTCCAAGTAACTGAATCACAGGTGAAGAAGTAAACAGTCTAATCAGTTTGATCAATATTTTATATTTAGCTGCCGTCACCCGTACTATGTCCCTGTCAGGTTTCAGATGAACAAATAGATTTAAACCTCTAATCTAATAAACTGCAATATTCTAGCTTTATGATCCATTAAAACTGGGATGCAATCATTTTAATTTGCGGTTGTACTAGATAAAAATGTAAGCTCAGATACCATGCTGAATCATGGCCATGTTTTCTCTCCCATTACACACTAACTCACGCATTAACTCAAGAGCTGACTGTGCTAACTCTGCGTAGTTCTGATCTGTTTTAGGACCAAAGGTTTCCCATCTCAGGGTTAATCAACTCAAGAGTTTGGGCTTAGGCTCAGAGTTTGTTAAGCCTGCTTCCTGGAACAGACCCTGGTTTCATACATAAGATGTTTTGACAACAAAGTGCAAACAGATCTTGTCATACATAGGCCGCATGGCAGGGGCACATATTCCTGGCCCCTAACTAATACTAACACAGCCTTCAGGGTCAGTGCGTTTGAAAGAATGCTTACTGTGCCATCTTACAATACTTTAGCCACAATAACCGTATAATCATATCACTGAAGATTCCGCTGCCGAGAGTTCAATTAAATTAATTTTATTTATATGGCGAAAAATTGCAACTCATGTCAGGACAGGACCTTATGTTATTTTAGAAAGAAATCCATTGATTCTATTTCAGTTTGCATTCAAAGAGGATAAATGATTTGATCTTAGACGTAACAGTAACAAATCAGTGAGAGAAGCAGGCTCAGAGAGGGCAGCCGTTTAACTTAAACAGATGAGGTGAGGGGACAGTTAACAGCCTTCCCTTTGAACACAAACTTGGAACTGGACACAGGGAAAGAGTGTAATAGCTGAAGGCTATAAAATTAAAATGTAGTCAGCTAAGTTCGAGGAGTTTAATTCTGTGTTTGCATTTTTTTTTTTTTTACTTTTTCATATACACATTTTTTTTCCACTTGTAAATGATGTAAATGTACTACTGACGATGGTGCAAATGTCAGACACATTTAGACTAAGATTAAATCAAGTTTTCTGTTACATGCTTTGGACATCTACGTCAAAGGCTTTCTGAACAAGTTTGTAAAATGTATACTGTCCTGCTAGAGCCAGACACCTGCTTATATTGGCCATAGCACATGTCAATAAAATTGACAGCTCCAAAGGAAAGTTAATGACAGATCTATAGTATACTGGATGATGTATTTACTTTGGCACTAGTATAACATTTTTCTTTTCCTTCTTTGCTCAACTTTTTTTTGGTTTCTTTAGAGCATGTGGAGTGACACAGTGGTGCCATACAGCACACAGGATATCTTACCAAATAAACACATTTTCCTACTTTTATTTTGCTTTGTTTTGCTCGCCTGTTCTTGAATAGATATTGCATGTCTTTTGAGAGAGAAATGAAGAGAAACACACAAAATCCATGCAGGAACTCCACACATATCCAATAGCAAACAAGAAACTGCTGGGTATGTACATGCATACATGCCAAAAACCAAATTTATGGGCACTGCAGGGCCATTAACACGGAGCTGGTCCGCTGAGTACTACAAGCAGAACTGCGAATTAAATTCACTTTATCATTTGGTGACAGGAGTCCAAAAATGTTTATTACAATTAAATATATATAGACAGCCTGCTTACACGACCACGCTTTCACTTCTGCTCTTTTAATATTTCTGTCCTCTGAGCTGTCGTGTAGTCCTCCTGCAAGGTGAGGGTGGTGCTAAGGACATGCCAAATAGATTTCATGCTGTACTGCATTTTGGAAATATGACCCCACAGCTAATACATTGTTAATGCTGTACAACTTAAACACACATCTAATACTCATATAAGACTGATGTTACCTTATTTTGACTGTCTCTGCAAACCTCTCACCAAAGTTTCTCACTTCTCTTTATCACCTCTCTTACTCTCTACTTCAAATGTCCTAACTCTTCGTGTACACACAGCAAAAAAATGTGTTTATTCAAGATGTATCTCCTTTTTACGGGCAGTGAAGCAGAGAGCTCAGAATTTCTCTCAATTTCTCTGTCACACGAGGCAACACAGACACGGCTTTCATCCCAAACCACAATAACAGATTGCCTATCACTGCTGGAAAAAAAAATACAAGGTTGTGTTTCTCTGAGCTCGATGTTCCAAAACATAATTCAATTAAGTCTGTCTCTCGTAAAGACATACACAGATTGTTGACTGTCGAGCTGGAAAATAAAAAAGACAAAGCTGTAACTTCCCTCCATGCTGGAGTCATTAACTGATCAAAGAGCATCTAATTCTCCTATAGCACAGAATTGTTTTACATTCATCTGGAAATGTGACACCAATCCCAGAGTGTCCCTTTTATTGCTGTATATAAATAAAAAATATAAAATAATATAATAAAATAGCTGTTGCCGTTGTTGCAACTAGAGTTGGATGCAGACAGCCAGCTTTAATTCCTACTTTTCATTAAAAAGAATAAACAAAAACATACATTTGCGCTTTAATTAACCAGCCATCACTGACTATACCAGTGTTGCTTAGTTCCCTAACAGCTTTACTGAAACTTTGGTCTCTTGTCTACTGTAATCTTTGCAGGGCAATGAGTGTACTCGTCCAAAGTTCATATAAAAGAGACACCTCTCTGCACTGTAACTATATATCCCAAGTGAACTTTTTAGCTCATATTAATGACTCAGTAAAAATGTTGCAGAATCAATATATTGAGCTAATGGCGTAGCTCTGAAACAGCTCTTCATTATTCAGATCAAATAATATATAAGTAATACAAACTAGTTTAGATAAAAACTCATCCTGACTACATACAATTCAGTTTTAAGGCCTCTATAAAAAAGGAAAAACAATGGACAGGGCTTCAGTTAAATCAGACCTTCCCAAAGTGTGGGGCCCACCTAAGTGCCAAGGTAGGTCTCCCCTGCAGAATTGGTTTTCCCTTCATCGGGAGCACGGGCTGGGTACTTCAAATCACGGACAAACAGTGTCCCACATTCTTGATTTTTAGTTCAAAAACACTTCTTGTAATGACTAACTACTCCTGACATTTTGGAGATGTTAGCTCTTTATACAGTAAAGTTACAGCGGGATTCAAATAACATCAGGCTGATCCTGCCACAATTTGTTCCCCCGGTTCAAATCACGGGCAAACAGTATCCCACAGTTGTTTATGTTTTTAAACCCATTTTGCACAGAGAGGCATTTTTGGAAAAATGTATTGATAGCAATGTTGAATATTATTACACAGGAAAAAAACAACTACACGTAAAATAATCGCCTCTGCTTTTGTAAATAGAGGGACATTAACTGCATGTGTATATGTAAGCCTGTAAACCTGCAGATAGAGACAAAGTACTGTTAATCTGACTATCTGCCATTCTGCAATTCATCTCATGTAAACAATAACGTGGCGCACAGCGTGACGTGAAAAAAAGCACATGCCTTTGATGTTGCGTGACCAACTCTGTATTCCTCGTTTACACATACATGTGGACGAAAGGTCCACAAACACATAGAAACAGCTGCGTTTTCAAAAATAGCCGTGTAGGTGCGGACGTAGCGTAAAAGAGTTAGTAGTTTATGTGTTTACTACCTGTAATTTATTGCAGATTGCTTATATTTAGTTAATTGTTTACTAATTGTTTGAGGTGTGAAATAAACCGCAATGGAGCAAAATATGGGAGTGTGTGGTTAAAGGATGTGTTTGCACGTGCATGTGCGCGCGCGCGCGGGGGGCGAACATTTTTCAAAGGGGGGCCTGACAAAAAAGTTTGGGAACCACTGAGTTAAATGTTATATGCATCTACTCATTCTCTGATCAGTCACTGGGGATAGACACAGAGGGTGTAAACTGGTGCTGGCTTTTCAACACTCTGTGAAGAATGCTTTAATTCCATAGTCAATAATCAAGAGAGCCTGACCCTCTTAATTTTGTCATTGATGTTAATCAAACTATGTTGCTTGTATGATATAAATGGCCACACATAATGATCTCTGGTCTCTGATGTCTATTTAAAGCCACTTAGCTTCATTATAACAATCTCATCATTCTAGGGAAGTCTATAATGAGGACAGCTGTCACAGAGAGCTGTCCTGAGATGACCTGTGTCCTGTAAAAACTGCCTATGACTCTCAGAAAGAACGCACGGAACGCTGACTCTGTTAAATTTACGGAAAATACAGAAAAGGTCAGAAAGTTTTCAGCCATCTGAGAAAAC